GAACCACAGTCACCCCCGATTTCATTTAATCCTATGAAAAGTGAAGAATGAATGAGCCTCACTAAAGGAATGATTTTCTTCACTAATTATCAGTCAACTATCAAACTGGCCAGCTTCTTCTTTGCTGACACCCTGTAGCTGAGGCCATCTGGAACTGCCACTGCCATTTCCTGGTCATTAACTGTGCTCACTTCAAGAATTTTGGAGTACTTTTTTTTCCCAGAGAGGAGTAACTGAAGATAGTAAGTCAGTGTTCACAGTTAGATCCACATTGTTTGCTAAATTCTGTCTTTGTTTGGTGTGGGAGAAACGTTGCTTGGGGAAGAGGCCACGATGAAAGGCGTTTTGATCTGGAGGCATGCAGCACAACAGTGTGAGATACTAAAAGTGGTAGCGATCAAGCTGAACTTTAACAAAACAATCACTCCATGAATACATGGGAAGCTGTGAAGAGTGAACACGATGAATACCACAGTGGTGTTTCTGGGGGGACCTAGTAAAGGTGAGGACAGTACCTTCTCTAACAGGCATAACTCAAGTTCAGAGACATTTAATACATGATAGATTGAGAAGTAGAGAGTCTCAGTGGTCTGTGGCACTGCTGGCATGAGATCATAAGCATTAATTGAGCTGAACCTTTCACTCTGGGCTGACAGACATCTGTTGCCAGCAGGTGACCCCGGCTTTATCATTACCAGCTAGACCCACCAATGTTTTTTCTGGCATGACAATTTAAAGCGATATATATATACGTTGCTTGTTAATTGAAGCTGTCAACATCATCCCTGTTTGTAGGTGAAAAATGGGTGCACCATGCAGTGCACCAGATGGCAGGAATGGATTATCAATCTGAGACAGCAGACGTGTGATGGATGGATTCTCTAGAGTAAACAGGTTCAAACTAAGAACCACACTGAGAAGAAATTTGCTCATAAACGAGCACCTTTGTGTTGACATTATGCACTGTTAGAAATGCAAATACTCTCTTTGACTATTCATGTTTTGGACGTGAAATTTACAGGCACACTGAATGATCCAAATGGAAATAAAAGGCAGTCAAAAAAAATTTTATAAAAAAAACAAAAAAAAAACACTTCACCTGCAAGGGCAAAGACAGAAATAGCAACTAGCTGGTGAACCAATTGAACATTGGTTCTAAAGAGCAGCTAAAGAGCCAAATATTGCTCTCAGGAATTGGTAATAGAAAGGGAACATTGGTCTTACATTGACCAGGTAACGAGAAACACAACTCCAAATGACCACAAATGTTGCTTTGTCTTTGCTGGATGTGTAAATAAGCAACACACACACACCATATGAACTTTAAACGTGATATGTCAATATTATGTTCACTTGTTTTTGCTGCTCCCAAATGTCTAAAAAAACAAAGTGGAAGACAGAGATGAGTCCTTTTATGATGGAGGCATCTCCATATGACATGTGACCACCATTAGTATGTGCCATGAATAAAACATCCTGAACAGGGCAGAGGGTAAACTGTTATGTATCTTCTCCCCAGACGCCTGGAGAGGCTTGTCAGACACAGCAGTTAACAACGCCTTCCTCCTCCTCATCATCATGCACACCATGTTTCAATGGATCCAAGCCCATGCCTGATACCATTACCCCAACCCCACACCTTATCCTCCCCCTCTAAATCAGAAGAACTCAAGTGTTTCTACAAAGCTGACTTAAATTTAAGTTAAAACAAGGGTGGTAGCATCGCTGCTAATCTTTACCCTGAGTCTCTGTTTCTTTCAGTTGTATTTATAGAGTGCCCAGATTGTCTCTGTAAATTAGGCAACCAGAGCTCTGGGATTAGCTGTCAATTTGTCCACACTGCGGAAAGAACTTGCTCAAGACCTCCATGATTTCATCTATTAGCGGTGCTGCAAACATGATCAGGCTCTTGTTGAGCACATCCCTGGCTCCTAGCTAAAGCATGATACAAACTGTGTGTGCACAGTGCTCCTCCTACCCATGAGACAGAGTGATGAGTAATGTTCCCTTCTTCATCATTTTATGAGAAGTATAAAAATCTTAACACATTTTTTAGAATATAGTTTTATTTATAATTTATAATTGCCAGATACAAAAACTCTTGAACTGTATCCAAAATGTGCAATAAATCAGTTATTTTCTCAAAACAAAAAATACAAAAAGACCTACTTTGGAAAGATGACAACCAATGTAAACTGTAATGAACAGTAATTCTACAGAGGGTTTTACTAAGCGCTACTAACGCTCTTTTAACCGATTATGGTTGTTAACACAATGAAAATCTGTTACGCTCTCCCAAGATGGGTCTACACTGGTGACATTGTTTCCCCACTGTTAAATACGAGAAAAGCAATCATATCGATAAGCAGCACAAACACCTTAGAATAAAACAGTTCTCAAATTGTACCAAGATGTATATGTGAAAGAGGGTTAAAAAAAAATGGGGGGACTTCAAATCACCTTCACTCACTGAGATACACCCCCCCCCCAAAAAAATGGTGGAGCTTAAGTGCTAAACAGCTGTTAATGATTTAAAATGCTTCTGCAGTCTGAATAAACATCAAACTCTGGAATCAACTATTTAATGCTTAATAATAAACTACTCAGAAAAATCACAGAACCAACCCCTTATGGAAACGGTTCCTGGCTGTTAAAAGTTTGATGGCCAGTTTCAAATTAAAAGGAAAATACTATTAAAAGTACGCAGCATAAAAACAACTAACATTTTACTTTCACATTTCAAATGAAACACATACACACACCCAAAAGAATAAGCACAATTCAATTTATATCCATATTGTCGACATGATCCTGTTTCTTGACAGCCCATTAGCATTACCAGTGGCTTTGATACGATGCTGGTGCCTTACCCTTTATTTCCCACAGATATGACAAAAATAAAACTAGCTCAAATTAATCTAAACATTTACGTATATGAACACATACAGCATGGGCAGATGTATGACTTATTTCTTTATTAAAATGCCATCTGAAGGACATCTCTAGGCAAGAGGATCTAAGCATATCAGAGGATTTTCAAGTGCAAAAATGTGTTCATGTTGTTCTTTCTGAAATGGGTCTGCAGACACACAAAACGGACACCTCAAACAAGTGTACATTCCTTTTGTACAGCACCATCCCCCAGATGGCAAATGTCACATCACTAAAGGATTCTAAAATGAAAAAAAAAAAAATTTGTACACATCTAGCTAATGTTTGTAAATGAACAAAGAATCCCTCTACACAAGCCAGACACAAACTAAATCCTTCATTCCTATACAACTCAAAGCTTAAAATGCAAAGTCTTTAAACATGCAACATCATTCAAAGTTTCTGATAGATTCATGGTAACTTCCTCAGACACCAACAAATCCAGCTAACTAAAACTACATGCCAACAGCCTCCAAAAGCTGTCTGAGATCATTTTCTGAACACTTCTAAGGACACTGATATCATAAAAATGATGCTCATTCATAATGTGAAAACAATTCCCTGTCAAAGTATCCATATAAAGCACTTGTGTAGCATACTGTATGCGCTTCCCCTTACCCCAGCACAAGCAGCCCAGTGGAGAGACAATCTGGGGGAAAGTGTAGCTCTGTGAGGACTACGGTACAATAAGTAATGTCAAAAACAGTATCCCATCTCCCACATCCCCTAAGTTTCATCAAAACCCATAACAATAATAATGATGTCATACAGCTGTGATGAAACATAAGTCATAGAGTGAAACCTGTGACATCATTCCAAGGTGGCGAGGACAACGTAACCCTTGGTTATACCCAAAGCTGTTGATCTAAGTTTGTGCCATTTTTGGATTCATTTGATCTGGGATCACCTCATTACTGGCATTAAGAGAGTAAGAAACAGCTACTCCTACAAAGAGATTCTGGTCACTTGACTAGAGGGTTTTTTTCAGTTGTAGGATAACCAAGGGCAATTTTCCTCACATATACTACCTTAATTAAATGCAACTGAGCATTAACCACTTTTATTTTATTCAAAATCTCCTCACCGTTTTAACTGTGACATCTTCTTTCATTTAGACTAACTCTACAGTGTCCTTAAACAACAGCCTTAAAAGTCTACCGCATGCTAATACAAAAATTGCTGATCGTGACAAAGTTGGTAGGCCTGAGCTATGTTGTGGTTTTTGTAACATTCCTAATGCAGAAATAATTAACTTTAAATGTTGAGATACTTCAGAAAGGTTTATACATCGCCTTGATGCTGTTTCAACAAACGGCGCAGCATTAAAATCCAGCATTATAAGTACCTTTAGGTTTGCACACTATATAGCGGCTGCATGCAGCCATACAATTTAAAGCTACATCTCTGACCAGGTGTTGAAAGTTTCTGACAGCCTAGAAAATTTTGGACATCTTCTGCAACAAATGGTAATGATGTGGACTTGGTAAACCCATTAGGCCTGTACATTTTTTTTACTGATCTGGTACTGTGATTAGCATTAAAACTTCAACCAATACACATCCACATCTATTAATATCCCTGTTCGTACACCGGGCACCTGAAAGTACCAAACAGGACAAGCTCAAAGATGAAGCAAGTCAGATAATACTTCAGAAAGAAACTGCTGCAAAAGTTTAAACTCAGCTATGAAATGAATGTAATTTTAAACAAAACAAAACCCAAAGTTTAACATAACATTTTTTTTGAAGGCTTCCATTACCATTTACACCATGAGGGCTATTTGCTACTTCAGTAATTGCAAATTATGAATGCAGAATGGTGCTTCAACTTGCTGTCTAATCATGCTGAAAAAGATAACACTGAACACTCTGGCAATAAAATGCAAAAACTGATCAAAATTGGTCAGTCTGCAGAGCTTTAAAAAAAAAAAAAAAAAAAAAAAAAAAAAAAAAAAAAAAAAAAAAAAAGAAAAAAGAAAAAATGAAAATCACTGTAACAATCCTTTTCAGTCCTGGCAATAATGTTTGAACAGTTTAATGGATGAAAACAATGAATTTTCCAATTCAGAGTGGACTTTTATTCTACTTTTATTTTCCCTACTTTCCAACTTTAATGCAGATTGCAAACTCATGAAAATCTGCTCTATTTGCACAAACAGATGTTACATTTAATAATTCGTCACAATGCAAGCCTAATGTCTGCACTTAAAGTATACAACTATGATAACTTGGCAGAATACTTCTGTTATATTTTTTCCAATAATGTGCTGGCTTGTATTTCTGGAAGCAGAGACTCCTAAAACCAGCAAAATAAATCCTAAAAAGAGTGGAATGGAGGACTAAACAGTCACATGGACACCAGAACCAATCTTAAAACTACAGTTATCTGTAAACCTTGTTTAAATCTCTTAACTGAACACAAAAGTGCAAATTGCTACCACTGTCCTCTCTCTGTGTCTTCAGTAGTGCTTCTCCTGCAGATAATCTTTCATCTTGTTAGGCAAGGGCAATTTCTGGATCAGGTCTATTCTTGTGTATTGTCTAATAACAAAGCGACAAAGGTACTGCAGGGAGCGCACTTGCATAAACCGAGATACTGGGCTGGTTAGTCTGACAGGGTAGGTTGCAGACCCTGGTAAGCGAGACCTGGAATAGCAAAAAGCTCCATTCTCTGAGTCTCGGATAGAGTGTTCAATTAAGTCAACAATGGACGTGTGTCCCTCCACATCAGGCTGCTCATAAAAGCTGAAGCGGCCATTGGAGTGTTCAATGCGGGTGTGGAGGGTTTTGCCCTGTGACCTGAAACTCAGGCTGAGCAGGTACCTGTCATCTGAGCTGTCTCTGACCAGGAATGAGCCATTAGCCAAATTGACCAACTTTTCCTCTGCTTCCCAGCGAGTGATGGGGCCCCAGTACCAGCCCTGCCTTGCTAGTTTCTTCAGCTCCTCTGTCAGACTGGTCACAACCATGGGCCCACTGCTCTGGACTGAGTCATACACCCGACTGACCCCAGGAGCTGAATTTGGGTCAAAGTTGAGATGGTGTCTTACTCTCTCAGCTACCTGGCTATCTGATGAGCTAAACCCCGAAAAGGTCCTGGGCATATGTCCATTATTTGTCATGGGTGGCAGGAGTGGAGAAAGGGGAGGTGGGATCTCTACCCTAGAACTCTGGAGCATCACACCAGCAGAACCGATGAAAAGATTATTAACTGAGGTTTCCATGAAGAGATCTGGAGGCATCCCACTGATCAGTTCATGTTCCTGTTGTCCCTGGTCTGTGTGGAGGGACCCGCTGTCTGCTTCAGTCACCACCTCCATAGGAGAAGAGCTATCCAGGCAGAAAGAGTGGGACCCTTCCGGGTACATTCCCTCATCTAAAGGCATTGTGTACTGGATATAGTCCTGAGGTGTCAACCCCAGCACCACAGGCACATCATTTTCATCAATATTTAGGTGCAGCTCACCATTTTGTGACTGTTGGAGATTCTTTAAGGATTCTGCTTGGTCCTGAAAAAGCCCTTCCATGCGGAAATCATGAAATTCTTTCCGGACACCATTTAAGTTAGGACTGGGGCTAGGAGAATGAACCATGGCTTTAACTTTTACCTCCATCTTTATACATGCCTCATCAGAGTTGACTGACCGCAAAGGCCATGGTGAAGGGCTATAATGGTGACTGCGTAAGGATGCAGATCTAAGGGGTCTCTGGGCTTTCACCTCATTGAAGCTGATGGGCACAGAAGAGGATGAGAAGGTATCATCATCATCCACTGAGCCTATGGCAGAGGAGCCACCTTTCACTTTTACCTTCTGCTTGGCAGAGAGCCTTCTCTTTAGTGATCCCATGAGGCTCTCACTTTTTGAGCGGCTCTTATTCTGACCCCCTTTGTCCTCTTCTGTGCCAAGGTCACACCCAGAGAGCTCTTTGGTGTAGCAGCCACCAAAAAGTGACTCCTCCTTAGAAAACTCTGTAGTCACCGAGGGTTGCTGGAGCATGACAAAGTCACCCTCCTCTTTGCCCTTTATGCTGAGGGACTTGCGGATGGTCTTAAGGCTTATCTTTTTCATTCTGACAGGCCCTCCAATGTGGGAGCATGGGATGACTATCCTGATGAAAGTACTATCCACAGTGTCCTCCCATCAGGCCACATGAAACAAGTCATGCATACAGTGGAGCCATCAAGCCCTGTAGGGGGGAAAAAAACCTCACAAGATTATAGATATTATGCGTCTTTGGTTCTAAATTCAGAAAATAAAATAACACCTCACAGGACACTAAAAAGATCCACTTAAAATGTAAACATAATTGTACAGCACATAGAGAAATGCTGACTTTTGGGTTTAATTTTGGTAATTATTTTTAACCAGGTATGAATTGTGGCCTTGTACTATACTTTTTTAGGAAGACAAATTTAACCACACAAATTATTAAACACATACATACATACATACATGCATAAACAAACAAAGATACAAAATAATTATGTTTAGTATCTGGTCCCCAAATCATTTGTTTCATTGACTGCTTTAAATCATGATCCACAGACATCAACAGATGTGCTTAGTATTTTATTATGTTGCCCTGTCTGTGTAATTAGGATCACTGGCCTGCTGCATTGCTTTCAGTGGATCGTGTATAAAAAGGGCTACAGTTCCTAATGCCACCCCAGAATACCATCAAATGGCTTTACAGCTGAAAGCAAGCACTTACACCTCACAGTCATTACTTTAATTTAAATCTCCAGTGCTAGGCTACAGGGCCAAACAACAGAAAATGTGTCACAGTCCAAATATTCACTGACCAGAGTGTATTAAAGCCATTAATTTCTGAAATAAATAATCATTGCCTTTTCACACATAAAAAAGCTATGACACTTCTGGTAAACCAAAACTAAAACAGCATCTAGAGACATACCACTTAATGCACCCAAATAAAGCTACAATTCGATTACTCACCATTATGTGCAGAAGAATGGTGACTCAGTTGGATGGTTCAAGTTCCACTTCCACCACCTTTCATTTGATCCTATAACAAATAAAGGCAGCTCGTTATTAAAGCTCCACATTTCTGATTCACGACATTTTATAAGAGTAAAATACATAACATGGGCATATTAATCACTAACGGCAAACGTTGTGTATTGTTACGCCAACATTTGAAAGATTTATCCTAATCTGTCAAGGCCTACAGACACAACAGCATACCTCTAGTTTAGCTACGTTTGTTAGCATGCGCCTTTAATGACAACAACATGAAGCTCAATGCTCTAACTGCGATTGAATTGGTGCACTTTAAATGTTACGAATAAGAAGAAAATTGACATTGTCTGATTTCACAAACATTCGCCAATTTAACAGATGTGGGCTTCCTTGTATGTCAACCTGAAAAAGCTAACAACCATCTAGTTTGTTGACTAGCATTTGTACTTTAAAAGTACATTTGCGTACTAAACCTTTTTGGAAATATGCACATTATATTTCACTTACCCGATCACTACTGCTCGCCTCAACTGTTACAAAGCTAAATAACCAGAGCTGATGGCATTTTTTCTGTTTTAATAACGCGTTCATAAAATCTTCGCTCCTTGACGACTGAGGCTAATGTTAGCTTGGCTAACGTTAGCCAGCTTACTACCTAATACAATCAGCTAGTTATTTTTGTTAACGTCTACTGTCGAAAACATTACGTTTACCTTACCTTTAGTCATCTTCTGTGCACAGACAAAAGTATAAGGCATTTATACAGCCGGATGTGGTGCTCCCCTAAACGTGTGTGCTTATATTGCCGATTAGAAAGATACAATAAGATAACATCTTTCTGTCTAGGTTGGCTAACACCTTTGTAGCTCGCGGCCTCTTCCTTTCTTCCTTTGTTGCCTGTTGAATTGTGGGAGCAGATTCAGAGACAGCGAATCAGACTCACAGCAGCTAGAGCAAGTCTTTAGGAAACTGACCTTTCAAAATAATTTTAACAAATCAGCAAATTTGTTAATAAATGAAATTTCCTATGTGTTGCAAATTAGGTATAGAAGAATAATATAGACAGGTTTAATTTGTTATAGCCTGTGCTTTAAAATGTCAATAAATGTTAATTGGAAACGTGTGGATTAGTTGTAAATACCTTTTCTACAAAACAGCTTAAGATTAAAGAAGGGAATTTGTAATTATATCACACAAAGCACAAAAAGTGTAGGCTGAGATACAACTAAATAACGTACCCCTCTGAATGTTTCTGAACAAAGCATATTGCTAAAAGAACTATAATGGACCTGTTCAGTTACCAAACGTAAGGACATCAACTTATGTCCCCTTAGAACCTAAAAAACTAAATAGGACATAAAGTCAATGGTCTAAAGCAATGGCGAACAAAATACTGACAACTATAGCATTCTCATCAGAGATACACTTTTTCAAAAGGAGAAACTAAATACGGAGGTTACATTTCATTTTGTTGCCACCACTCTGAACACTGTTTCATCATTCAAAGAAGTGTTCTATCAGTAATGCAAATTAACATGTAGCACAACAAAAAAGCAAAAGAAATGGTAAAACGTGGAGAGTGGTTGCTAGGGAATATTTAGTTTGCTTGTAACAGCAGAGATGAAAACTAGCTTTCTCTGACACATGACATTATAAGTTGTGCAGTCTCTGAAATGTTTTTTTTTTCATTTGTACAAATGACTGAAGTTATCTTTCATACGTTGCTGCTGCACTCCCTCAGACAAAGCTTTTAAAATGTATGATCCACGTTATTTGGGCTTTCACAGTGAAGCTCAACCAGCTTTGTCATGCCAAAGAGGAGGCCTACAGGAGTGGGGACAGGAGCCTGTATAACCAGGCTAGAGACACAGTGACAAAGGAGATCAGAGTAACAAATTAAAGCTAATGACTGACACATGTTTCTATAGCAAAGACGTTAGGGATTTCTTAACAGTTTAATGCTTGTTTGATTTGATCTGAGTCGATTATAACTTACACCATACAGCTTATATACGGCATATAACCTTTCCCCAGTGCAATAATCAGGATTCCATTTCTACCATAGATATCTGATTATTGTAGAAAAAACAACAAGTTTCCTCCTTAATTCCAGCTGTACTTAGCCGTTTTTCTATTTTGTATTCCAGAAACATCAAGTTGGCTCTCCAAGTATTTTGAAGTTTTTGATAGAGTAACTAAAACTAAATCTAATTAGTGTCAGCATTGTTTTAAAGTAGACTGTGTTTACCACTGCCAGGCTAATTTGGCCCATATACTGAACATTACATTGTTTTTTTCCACACTGTCAAGTATATGGCACTCCTTCCCCAGCCTGCTTAGAGAGGCTGCATGTAGACATGGTCTATGCAAAGACTCTAATTACCAGGCCCTATTAGGGTTGATCAGGCTTCTTTCACTTGATGTGATGGCACAGGAGGGGAGGGCTGCTGGAGGGGGGAGGAAGGAGGGTTGGCAGCATTTAGATATAGTACCAACTGAGCTGGGTAAGAATGCAATGTTTCTACAAGCTAAATTAAACCTGACACACAAACTTTAGTCTGGCTAATGTTTGTTGCCAAACAGTAAAAACAAGTAAATATGTTGTCAACCACCACAGAGTATAATTTATGAAGGCGTCACTTTTTCAAAATCTATAGTTCCAGAAGAATTTGAATTTATGTATAAGCGTGATTCAAAACACTGAGTTACAAATCAAATGGAATATTGTACACATGGAGCAGGCTGCTCTGTTTAATGAGACACCTCCACATGTGAGGCAGCTCCTTGTGTTTCATCTTAATTTCAAATAAACGCTCCATCAGCTATAAATTATTTGCACAATATATCTGTACTTGCTTCAGTTTGACTCAGTCCTTTGACTTGACTCCTTTGCCAACAGAGGTTTGTCAGGGGCCCCTCAGTGCCCACCATCACATCCTTAACACCTGCAGTGGAGCAGAAGACAGGTACAGCAGACATGTCAAATAGTAGCAGGGCTAGTGGGACCACTTGGGTTTTGTTTCAGAAATGACTAGGGTTAACCACAAAATACAGTCTGAGTGTTAATGGTAAAGATGATGTTCACACCTCTACCTAACTGTTGTGGTGTGTCATTGTGTTTTCAGAATATTTCTTTTATGCAACATGAGCTATGGGTATATCATCACTTTTTCACTCTTTAGGTAAAATGTCTTTGAAGATGTCTTATTTGCTATTACACCAGCTGTGTCTACAGCGTAAGGCCTCAGCTATAACATGAGCTCAGTTTGAATGGCTGCCACGTTAACACAATGAACAAAATGTCTATGCTTGAAATTGTTATAACAGTTTCATTAACTCCTTCTATTTTGCTGCCATATGGGATGCAAAATTTTGGACAGTTAAAATAATGATATGATTATTTAACTGATTTGACTTAGTTTTATGCATGCAATGCTATTAGGGCAACATTTTATTGTTTTGCTCAGCAGCCCCTGTAAAATACAATATATGGTAACAGACTTACATGGCTCACAGTAGGAAAATTATTAGAACAAGAGTGGAGGTCAGATTAATTTAATTGAATTAATTCCATGCAATGGTCATAAAGGTGGGCTTTGCTACTGTGCACTGTGCAGGGGGCCAAATTCTTTGTTTAAGGGCTTAATCTTTCCCACCGCAATAAACTAGCTAAAAGGACAAATTCCGTATATCATTTATGAGTGGCACATGGATGATGCCACTCATGATGACTCCCTGCCATCATAGAAATATCCAAGACAAATTCTATTGCTCATTATCAGGAGACTAAGTTTCTTTAAACCCTGAGAGACCCACTTTCACCAAGCCAACAGTTGAACCAAGATACATTTGTGATTTCAGGGTGAACAATCTGTCAGATAAATGACAATATACAGCGTCTATCTCACGTATGTGATTATTTTGACTATCATCAGTATCATGGCAAGAACAGAGAGCAGAAGCACAGGGTGAAACCAAGACACAACACATTTGATTCATCTCTGCACTTAAAGACAAGACTGCTTTTAAATTTTGTTGAAATGTTTTCTAAAGCTTCAGCAAATGAAACTGATTTATTCAATTCAATGATGAGATTAAGTTTCCTACCGATTATAAATGAGTATGGTGATAATTGAAATAATTTCTCACATTCAATCTGTAAATGGCTGCCACTATACATAGTTACCTGAAATCTATATTTATTGTTTCTCCTTTAGTCTCATTATCATATTGAGAAGAAGAAAAACAAACCGATTTTGTGATATGACAGTGTGCTCATGTATTTCTTTAAATTGATTCTGCACAGGGTTATAAAAAGGAGGTGGAACACCTGAGGAGACAGATGGAGGCTGAAAGAAAAGAGATGGAAGAAAAGCTGAAGATCTCTGTAAAGATCTTGGTCCTGAAGGAGAGGGAGGCTTGGCAAAGTGAGCGGCAGAAGCTGCTGGATGAAAACAGGGCCATGCAGAGGAAGCTGGATCTCACTAAGCAAGACAACACCAAGCTGAAGACCAACCTCCAGAAGGCCAAAGAGGAGATCAGCTCTCTTCACTGCCAACTCTCTGAGCTACAACAAAATTATAATGTAGCCGTCTGTGACTGCACAGAGCTGGCGAGAGAGTGTGAGGAGGCAGTGGAGGAAAAGAAGAAGAGAGATGAGCAGATCGTCTCTCTTCAACAGAGTCTCTGTGACCAGAAAGGGGAAACTGAGAAGGTGAGGACCTCTGTTGTGACGAGTACGAACAAGATGTGGCAAAGTCAGTCAACTTGAAAAACTCCTCAGTGAAAAGGACAAGCTGCTCACCAGGGAAACTTGGAAGACACACTAATGCTCACGTAGACACCTTGAATGAGCTGAGTGCTGTGCAGACAGCTCTGGAGCAGAGCAAACTGAGAGCAGACGCCCAGGAAGAACAACTGACAAAGCTGCTGGCTGAAAAAGAGGAAAGCCACAGAAAGAGTTCAGTCAGGAAGAAGAGAACTTCCTGAAGGTGCTCGCAGAGAAACGGGAACACTGCAGGAACCAGCTGGCCCAGAGAAAGAAAGTGTTTTTACAGAGGCAAGAGAGCTGGAAGAAGAAGCTCTGTGAGAAAGAGGAAAGCTGGAAAAGGCAGCTGTTTGACAAACAGAGCCTCCAGCATGAGCTGCTGGCCAGAGAACAGTTATGTCCCCACATGGAGGCAGAGAGGAAAGAGGAGATCCAGCGCCTCCAGAATGAGCTCCATGACAAAGTGGAAAAGTCCAGAAACATGTGCAACAAGTGGAAGAAGAGAGCACAGCAATGACAGAGAAAGAAGAGAGAGCTGGAAGACATGCTGCTGGCCAAAGAGAAGTTATGGACCCTCATGGAGGCAGAGAGGAAAGATGAGATCCAACGCCTCACAGAGGAAAACATCCAGCTGCTGTCGCTCTCTTTTCAGCTGCTCTCATTGGAACAGAAGCAGAAGAAGAGCTTCTGAGGCTGGAGTCTGAAAACATAAAACAACCCACCCCCCAGCCTTTACCCTGCAATTGAAATGCTTCTCACACACCCCACTTCCTTACAGTTTTCTTTCACTTCTTCTTTTAATTTAACCAATAAACAATTTAAATTGAAATAATAATCATTTGAAATAATGCAAATATAGTTTATTATCTTAAAATAAAATGAGTAAGACTGCTGAAAGAGCAGGTTTTGTTTCTAGATAGTTTCTGTCCCGTTCAGGGGAGATTGTCCAAAGGCACTTGTATAAAATAATGCCTTTTGCAGGCATTGTGCACAGTATGTTTGGTGACAAAACTTTAAACCTTAATTTCTTCACTGCTTTCATACTGAATACTCTCTGCCTTTGTATGGCAGTGTGGATGGTTTATGGACACTTTCTTCTGTCTGTTCTTGGTCCTCTTACCTCTAGATCCCATAAAATTGTCAGGTTACTAGCTGCAAGATAAGACACATTTCTCCATGCTTCTCAGCATGA